TCCCGATCCTGGAGGTCAGCTCCACTCACCAAGTTCGTAGAGAACGAGGGGAGGTAAAGACCTGACAGCGAGCCGGACGGGACGGCCGGACACGGCAGAACCGTGGAGTAGTGGGCAAGGACTGGACCCCCGGAGGGGTCCGCCAGGGAGACTGGAACTGGCCGACTAAGCGGCGTGAGTGTGGTGCAGTCGCGAAAGAAGGAGCGAGAAGCTCCTGAGTCAAGGGTGAAGGTGTGCGGAACCGTAGTTGGCGTAGTACCAGAGAGAGCAGACTCACCAGCACCTGAAGCCACGGCCTCACCAGTACCTAGAGCAGTAGACGTACTAGCACCGAGAGCAGCAGCCTCACCAGCACCTAGAGCAGGAGACGCACTAGCACCTAGAGCAGCAGCCTCACCAGGGTCAGGCGGTACGCACAGATAACAGGCACGATCAGCACTAGTAGGCAATGCATACATGGCAGTGAGAATAGCATCATAGTCAAGCGCAAAGATATCTACCCTCTGTCCATGCAGCTCCAGCCAGGTGGGGAGCTCAGCCTCGTCGCCAAACACTGTGCGCCAGGCGTCGCTCAGACGGGCGAAGCAGCGGGACTGTGTGTGACCAAGCGTCCCACAAGGCTGACCAGTCCTAGCACCTGTGCGAATGACGTACGGGCAGCGAACTGTACGCGTAGACCTGCTACACTGAGCGTACCACTCCTGGAGCTGCCGGGGCGTAAGTGTCTCACGTGGACGCCCCTGCAGCTGCAGCTGGCCACTGCCAGACGCTCCCAACTGACCAGCTCCAGGGCGACCGGTACGACGGCTACTGCGACAACCCCAGCTAGTATACCACTCACTAAGCTGCTGGGGCGTCAGAGGCTCGCGTGAACGTCGCTGGAGCTGCATCTGGCCACCTGCCAGTAGCAGTAGCAGCAGCAGTAGCGCGGGCAAGGCAGGCGCGGCAGGCAGGCAGGCAAGCAGGCAGGCAGGCAGGCAGGCAGGCCGGCAGGCAGCCAGGCAGCCAGGCAGGCAGGCAGGCAGGCAGACAGGCAGGCAGGCAGGCAGGCAAGCAGACAGACAGGCAGGCAGGCAGGCAGGCAGGCCGGTAGGCAGGCAGGCAGGCAGGCAGGCAGGCGGGCAGGCAGGCAGGCCGGCAGGCAGCCAGGCAGCCAGGCCGGCAGGCAGGCAGGCAGACAGGCAGGCCGTCAGGCAGGCAGGCAGGCGCTCACCAAAGGCTGGGAGAGCAGGCGCTCACCGGGCGAGCAGGGCCGGCGCTCGACGGGCGGCGGCCGAGTAGGCGCACGACAGCGGCGGCGTCGGGGCCGCAAAACCGGCTGTAGAGGAGGGCGGAAGCAGCTGCAGGGCGGGGCCGCTTCAGCGGCAGTAGCAGGGTGGGGCCGCGTCAGCGGCAGGTCGGGGCCGTGGCAGCTGCAGGGCGGGGCCGCATCAGCGGCAGGTCGGGGCCGTGGTAGCTGCAGGGCGGGTCCGCATCAGCGGCAGGTCGTGGCCGAGGCAGAGGGCCGCGCGCGGCTCGGCGCGGGCTGCGCTGACAGCGCGCTGAGCTGCTGCAGGCCGCGCGCGGCCGCGCTAGGCAGTAGCGGGCCGCGCGCGGCTCGGCGCGGGCTGTTGCGGGCCGCGCGCGGGCCGCGCGAGGCAGTAGCAGGCCGCGCGCGGCTCGGCGCGGGCTGCTGCGGGCCGCGCGCGGGCCTCGCGAGGCCGTAGCAGGCCGCGCGCGGCTCGACGCGGGCTGCGTGGGCTCGGCGCGGGCTGCGCGCGGCTGCAGCGGGCTGTGCGCGGCTCGGCGCGGGCTGCGTGGGCTCTGTGCGGGCTGCGCGCGGCTGCAGCGGGCTGCGCGCGGCTCGGCGCGGGCTGCGCGGGCTCTGTGCGGGCTGCGCGCGGCTGCAGCGGGCTGCGCGGGCCTTACGGGCCTCTAGGGGCGGCGCGTGGGCCTTACGGGCCTCTAGGGGCAGCGCGCTGGCCTAGGGCAGCAGGAGGCAGCGCTAGGGCTGCTGGACGGCGCACATAGTGCAGCACGTCACAAGGCAAGGCAAGGCAGGCAGGTACGTGGGGTAGCGCGGTAACCGCAGCGGTAGGTGGGCCCGAAAAAAAAAACGGTCCTACGGACCTTAGTGCTCTGAAACCATGTCAGAATCTAGCAGCAGGAATGGATGAACTAGCAGCATGCAGGAGTACAAGTAGTAAACCCTAATTGGGCTGTACCCCATATGAGCTACCCCACTACAGCCTAGACAATATGCAGCATATATGTTTGACATGTGCATCATTCATGACATATCACATGCATTATATAGCATCATTCTATGCATTATGCATTGTATAGCATCATTTATGCATTACGCATGCATCTCTTTATCATTACACAACATCATCTAACAGTAACATATAATGCAAACAGTACAGCAAATCTACACTAAACAATTGCAAAAATATCATTTGGTTTAATGCACTATGAACAGTACCGTATTCAAAACTGCTCAACATGCATACAGTATGGGAAGGGTATTATTGTAGTTGACAAATTTTATTTTCGTGATTTTATAGAAAAAAATAAAAATGAAAATAAAATTTGGCAAAATCGATCGTAAAGGGTTGCTTCGCAACCCAAAAAACTTTTTTCTGACGCCAAGATAACCAACTTTCTGTTGTCTTACACTAAAGACGAAAAAGTCTACATAGTCTGATCCATCAGACGGAAATAAAACCCTAGTCTGAACCTATTACAAAGAAATTATTTCCTACTTGCACTAACTATCTATCAATATGTTAAGCAGTTAACATCCTAGACAACTAGCAACCTAGTCAGAGTCACTACCAGCGCTGTCGACGTCATCAGTCTCAGCCTAGCTTTCCTCAAAAGGGTCAGGAGCTTTTCCCCTATCCTTCCGACTGAGCCAGGGGTATTCTGCATCAAGCCTTGCAGCTTCTGCTGCTAGGGCTGCTTCTCGGGCTGCAGCTTCTGCTGCTGCCAATGTTGCGGCTGCTGCTGCTGCTGAGGCAGATCTCTTCTTCGCGCGCTTGCTTACTCTCTCCCAGGAAGCCATCAGCACATCCTTGGCAGGCCTGCGTTTCTTCGAGCTGTTAAACCACCTCAGTAACTCTGGCCACTCCATGTCATAGCTGAGAAGCGAGACGGTCATCAGCTCCCCGAGCTTCGCGTCACACAGATTCCCGCGGAGCCAGCTCTTGATCACATTCTGCCGTGAATAGCCGCGCTCGCACTCAACCGTGCTGAGCGGAAGAACAGCGTCGGCGATCCACAAGTGCACGAGATTCGGGTAGCAGGTGGCCCAGTCGGGAGAGGACAGCATGAGATTCAGGCTGTCCGCAAAGCCCACATCCTCCTGGTGTGTGGCCATGATCGTCGAGAACGTGACGATCTCCCGCTGTGCTCGCGCCCAGTTGATGCCTGTGGGGTGTGGGTCGCAATGGGAAGTGCAACAGAAATGAGTCAATATAACCAAGCATGTAACGCTTTAATATGGTCAAGTATCGATCACATAGGCATGAAATGAGCGAAACTGTTACGCACCGGGTAGGGTGTCAGGGTCTTCAGGCCTCTTCTTAAACATGTTGCGCAGTGACTGCAGCCACTGCCCAAGCTTCCTCTCTCAACCGATAACTGCTTGCCTTTGGGGTCCTCGAAGTCCTTAGCCGCAGGTTCGGGGGCCACGGGTCGCGCCTTCACAGACGGTGCCGGCTGAGTCGGACCGCCCGGACGCGCGAAGTTCAGCACACGTTGCTTGTACCGCCCCTTTGATGACCTGTCGGGCAAGACAGGGTTAGCCCTGAGAGCGGATTTGGTAGTGTCAGGTACTACACGGACGTTCTTATCGGCACCGCATGACGGCATGCAGGTAGATACTGTCGTAGTTGGTGTTGCGGTCAATGGCAGAGAGTTATCGCCATTTTCCGACGATGGCGCATTATCAATAGGCGAGGGTACCGCAGCAGATGTTGAAGCAATAGGTGGGGCGACAGGGGCGATCGGCTTGGCCCGCGTTAGAAAGTCTAACGCCGAAACCCCTGGCGCAGCAGTGGTGGGGTCGGCCATAGCCTAAACGAGATGGAAGAAATTGTGGTGAGGGAAACGGGCCATGCTCGGCTGGGTGAGAGGTGAGGTAGACGAGCTTCTCAAGCAGCTGTTTAACAAGCCTCGCTGAGCTGCATGAAACCCCCTCATCCAGCGGTGTGAATCAAAAGGCGATGCGTGAAGGGAGCCGGGGAAGGACAACCACCGTACAAGGTTACGCAACGTGTAGGACATGAAATTGCGCTGGCACAATGTGACAGCGCGTTGTCGTGGCTGTGGCTGGCGTCAGCGCCAACAGTCTCCTTGCAGCAAATGCCGCAGGTTCGTGACAGCGAGGCTGCTATAAGACACGCACATTAAATGCGCGTGCAGGTACTACAAGGCAGCAAGCAACCATACACTTGTACCTGTGGTCCGATGGTCCACTGGGCATATGGCCTAGTGGTGGCCTAGTGGTCCAATGGCCTAGTGGGCTTAATTGTCGGTTTCAGACGAAAGCGAACGCGACATATGTAAATCTAGACGAAGTATTCTACATGTTCTGGAAAATCATACGAACGTAAAGCATTTGTCTTGGGGTTCAGATGAAAAAAAAAAAAAAAAAAATCTTAGAACTCAGATGAATACAAAAAATCACGTATGAGAATCAGAAATTCAGACCTAATTGGTCTGATAACGAGGGCCCTGCCTCCCACTGTTCGTTACTGTTACCACTGTGGGACTTCACTATACAGTTCTTGCTGATGCCTTCGCTCACTGTACTGTTTTGCTTCAATTGTGCAATTCTCGCTTGCTCACTCGATTGCACTTGTAACACTACTCCAAAACAGATGACAACCAAAGAATCAAATTCACAAATAAAATACATGGTGAACAATACTGGTACCTTGTTTGTGCAAATAAGATCTACCCATGTTGATCCTCTTTAAGTAAAAGAAAATGGTACGCGAACATCGCGTTAAGTGTTAGTCACTCCATGCATCCTCGTCAGGCAGATGCCCTTGATTTATTTGTAGTGCAGAACTCCGCGATCTTGACTGCACGTGCGGTTAAACACGGAGATGCGCAAGTCACGAAGCAAGCCACAAGGAAAAGGGATAGAGCATGACGCAAGAGACACATGTCATGGTTCAGTGTTTTGACTTCATGGTTAAGGCTACAGCATGCATGTACCTTAGGTGCACATGAGAGGAAGGTACGGTATAACAAGGGAGTGACGTACATGGGGTGAGTGTGATTGAGGGTAGTGGTGTTGGTCTAGGAGAGGGGATGTCCAGGAAAGGAGCTGGCGGTCAGCACCGGAAGAAAATAACTGCTGAAAGCGGGAGAGAAGCAGAGAGAAGAGGAGCAGAAACAAGGTAACTGAGGAGCCAAGAAGGGAATACAGGAAGAAAAGAGTGCAAGGGAGATGGGAATGGGAATGCGTGGAGTGGAACGGGAGCAACAGGCGGAGGGACGTACAAGCTGTCATTTCGCAGCAGAGGTGAAACGACAGCAATATGTGAGACATTCAGAAAGAGACAGGGAGCGAGCGATGGACGCACAGGTGTGGCAGGGTGAGAGCAGCAGAGCAGCACATTGTCGAAGTGAGCATGCAGAGAGGCGAGGGACTCCCCTGTCCATGTGTGCAACACCTGCAGAGGCATGTGGGAAGGGGAGGAGGAGTCAGACATGCGTGTAGAACACCATACCCCTTGGCACATGCGTGGAAGTTTCATGTTTGCATTTGCGGCAGTGGTGGCGGCAGCGGGAGCAGCAGCAGTGGCGGTGACAGAAGCAGCAGCCTGTGCTTGCCTGGATGGCGGGCCCCTGAGGCAGGAACACCAGCGACCCGTCATGGGACATGCAGAACCGCACTGTGGCCTCTGACGCCAGCGCGCCACGTGGCGCTCTCTGATTCGCGTAGTGGATGAGCGTGTTGGCCCCGGCCTCCACGTCCCACAGTCGCAATCGCTGGTCTGAGCCTGTGCACGGAAGAGGAGGGAAGGAGAGGGGGAGAGGAAGGGGAGGGGACATGGGAAGGTTTGAGGTAGGAAAGTGTGGGGGCGTGTGAGGAAGACACGAGGGTGTGCACGCGCAGTGCGTGGTCAGCGAGCGTTGAGACGAACGGGTGCATTTTCCACAGCAAACACCCCAAGAACGGGCTCAATCTGGTTTGACCAGAAGGCACGCACGCAATATCGGGTGAGCGTGAACGAGATTAGCGGAACACGCACACCGGAGGCTGGGGTGGAGGAAGGAGTGGGCTAGCGAGAGAGAGAGAGATAGAGAGAAAGAGGGGTGGAGGGCAGAGGAGACCGTAGGAGAGGAGGAAGAGTCCATTGGGGGTGGGAGCCATGGAGAGCACAGCCCCTTCATGCGCCACCTGCCCTGCCTCCTCGCTCCACTGCCGCTGCTGCACCGCCCCTCCCCTCCCCCACTCGCCTTGCCCTCTGCCCGCCTGCCCTATTCTCACACGCACGCCTCCTCCTCCCCCCCACCACCCCACGAACCCCCTTCCACACCCATACTGGTCCGTCTCCTCACTCCGGCCCACCTTCCCCTGCCTCTCCCCACCGTTCTTCACCACTCTTGCAAGCCTTCCCCCTTCGTATACCCCCCTCTTCGCAGCACCCACGCTCTCCTCCCTCCCCCGCTTGCGTTCCGTTCCCCTTCCAGCCCCCACCCCTCTCCCTCCACTCCCCACACCCCCATCCCGTTCCTCTGTCACCCCTCTCGACCCCCTCTGACCCCTCAACGCCTTCACCCCCCTGCCGCCCTTCCCTGCCGCCCCTCCCCCTCCTCCTCCCTGTGCTGCCGCCCGGCATGCCGGGGGCGGCGGCAGCGCGGGCGGCAGAAGGGGCGGGCGGAGGGCGGGCTGCGAGTGGCGGTGGTGCAGCGAGTGCAGTGCGGCCGGGCGGCGGATGTCCCAGATGCGGATGGCGCCTGCTGATGATCCCGAGGCCACGTGGAAGGGCGATGCGGGCGACCAGCACAGCCTCGTGATGGCGCCTGGGGGGAGGGGGAGGGGAAGAGGGGGAGAGGGGGAACGAGGGAGGGAAGATGTGGGATTACGAGGGGAGGATGGGGATTAGAGGCAGAGGAGGGGTAGGCATGGGGCACCTGATGAGAGGCTTAAAGCACCTGAAAAGCACGGAGCACCTGAGCGGCACCTGAGAGGCACCTGGGAGGCATCTGAGAGGCACCTGAGAGGCACCTGAGAGGAGAGGCACCTGAGAGGCACCTTGGGAGGCGGCAGCGCGCAGCATGTGAGTGGCAGCGCCCGAGGCGAGGTCACAGAGGCGCACATTGCCGTCCTCACACGCCGCTGCTGCCAGCAGTGGCGCCCCCTGTGCGCGCGACATGGCCACGTCCCCCACCCGCCCCGGCATGTGGAACGACAGCAGCGCCTGGGGGGACACGGCGGCAACGGGGGAGGATTGGGCGGGATATGACAGGGCATGAATGGGGGTGGGAGTGGCACGCGCGGAATGACGAGTAAGGTTGGTGAGGGAGGAGCGGAGATGGGGAGAGAGAGACGGGAAGGTGTTGGGCAGGGTAAGTGCTAGAGGGATGCAATGCAAGGCACCAGGCAGATATGAGAGTGAGCTGGAATAGGAAACGGCGAAATTTAATTGGAGAAGAGTGGGGATAGGACGAACTGAGATTCAATGATCGAGCCTGAGAAGAGGGGGGAGTGGGGAGGTGGACCGGGAAGAGGAAGGACGAGGGGTGGAGTGGAAAGAGGGGCACACGCCTGGAGGGTGTTGGTATCCCAGAGCTTCACGAGGCCATCGAGGGACGCGGAGACGAACAGCCCCGGATCCACCGGGTACCATGCCACGCCCGTCACCGCCAGCGAGTGCGCCGCTCCTGGCGCGGGCGCCGCGGACGCGTCCGCGAGCGCGCGCGCGGCGCGCGCGGAGTCGGCGGCGGAGGAGGAGGAGGGCGCGCGGGGGAGGGTGAAGAGGGGCGGGTGGCAGGGATGCGCGAAGGCGTCTACGGCGGTGGGTGCGGCGGTGTCGAATGCGGTAATTGCGCCCGCCGCGCTGCCCACCAGCAGATAGCGCTGCTCCGCGGGGTCCACCTGCGAGGGGGGAGGGGATGGGTGAATGTGAGGGAGGTAAGTAAGGTGGGTGGGGGGATGGAGGAGTTCGAAAGGAGCACGGGCTGCAAGGCGGAGGGCTGGGTGGATTGTGCAATTCGGTGAACGCGCCTGCATGGCGGAAGCGGAAGACGAGAGCGCGTAGTCGTAGCAGTCGTGCGCCGCCGGCTGCAGCGAAGCCCAAGCGCGCCCACTCAGATATCCCGGAAGCGCGCGGGGACAGTACGGCGCGCGGGGAGTGGCGGAAGCAGAGCCGCCGGGGAGCAGAGGGGGATTGTCAGGCGCGTCGAGGGGGGAGCATACACGCGCGCGCTGACCAAAGAGAGGCGCGCGGCCAACCTCCCTGCGGGAAAGGGCGGTGAAGGCGGAAGGGTGCATGGCGGGAGGCGGTCGCAAGCCGACATGGATGCGATAGGCGTGTGCTGAGGAAGGCTGAGGGATAGGCGGGGCGGGGAGGCTAGGACGCGAGGCGCGAGGTGGTTGGGTGGGCGGTACGCGCGCTGGGGGCGCGGATGTAGCCACGTGCATTCACACGGGCTCAGATTGTGAAAAAGTGGAGGAAAGTTGGAATTAACATCGGATACGCGTTAAAATGCGAAATAGAGTTTAGCAACTAGCATCAAGCTATTTTGGGTTCAGCGTCTATAAGAGCTGAAAGGAAATTCAAACTTGGCTTTGGTGGCTCATTAATTTCCGCCTAAACAACATGGCTAGGCACGTCCAAGAAAATGAAATACAAGGAATGATACAAATTAACGGATGCATAAACGATGTACAGGATATACAAGATCAGTGATACGCAATTAATATCAACAAGCATGCTTACTAGCATGCCACCTTTCTTGTGTACCTTCCACCCTGCTGCTCCACAACTTGAACTTTGTTGCAGAACCCTTCATCTGCCCCAGGCCCTTCACCCACTTCCCTCTCCCTCCCTTCATCACAACCGCTCTCACTGCCACTATCATCACTGCTATGGCTGCAGCTTTCCTGCTGCCCTTTCTCCAGCACCTGCCTCCCACAAGCCTGAGGCGTACGGCGCACGCAGGCTGGCAGAGTGAGAGGCATGTCAGGGTCAGGCTGAAGCGGCACAACGGGAAGCAGGTCGCAGTTGCAGACTTCAATCATGTGGCCGTCAGGGTCGTGAAAGAAGAGCTGCTCCACCATGATACCCGCCTCCTCCACGCACTGCCGCAGGAATGCAATGCCTCGCTCCTCCAGACCGCTCTCCACCTCCTCAATGTCATCGCACTGAAATGGTACCGTTGCGAGCAAGGAGACGAAATCAACTCGGACTACGAACAAAGGTATCAAGAAACGTGCTTCGAGCTTGTGAAACACGCGCGGGTCCGTGGAATTAAGGTGTGGAACATTGTGTATTCGTACCTGAAATGAGAAATGGTCTGATTTTGGGTTAATCTCCTTCGGGACTCGCAGTTGCGGTGCTTGGGGGTCCTCACTCTGCCCCAACAGGTGAATTCCAATCCCATGGTTGAACAACCTGAGGTGCAGAAGGAAACGGATAAACGTTACTTCGTACAAGTCAAAGTCCAAAGCTCAGCTGATAGTACAGGGTTATTCTCCACTGGCTGAAATTCAAGAACAGCACGTCGAAGCTTCACGGATTAACAATCTGGCATGGCATTGACGCGAAGGGCCTGCGACGCATACCAAGCGCCGTCGAAGTTAAGGCAGTCGGGGCGGCGCACGGGCACGAATCCCATAACGTCGCAGTAGAAATTCACGGACTGCTCAACATTGCTGCAATGGATGGACACGTGGTTTAGCGACGTCAACGGTAACGGACGACTCCTTGCTGATTTTTTTGTAACAGTTGGCGCCTTGGACGGCGCATGCTGTTCTCTGCAAGCTTCGTGCAATTTTGAAGAAGCGGCAGGCGGCATGCTGAGCGATGGAGGGTCGAGAAGAATTTGACTGCGCCAGGAACACGGTCAAGAGATACGCACTTGCGCTTCAGTGCGTGTATTACTACGTGCTGCTGCTATTGAAGATTTAGGAACGGTGGTCGCACGCTGGTTGAGAGAATAACAAACGCGAAGCCTCCTGACAAGATTCGAATTCCACTCTACTAGGAGAATGGCACGAGAGACCTCCTCCTGTTTCAGTTCAAAAAAGCCAGCGGGCTGAGAGAGGTTTTGAGCTCAGCTGCCAACTAGATTTAGTAATTGTGAAGGAGGCGATTAGACTTCGCGCAGGACCTGAATTCGAGTCAGGGCAAGTACGTGAAGTATGTAACACGTGAACTGAGGCCCTGAATCCCTGACCATGCTTCAGCAGTTCTATGAGTACTAGCCGCAGAAAAAGGTTTGAGGCAAGTTTGATGGCAGCGACTGCAAGCAACTTTCATGTGCATGTGATGAATGAAGGGTGACCCATCCATTGCAGCAATGTTGAAGGGTTTGAATGGGGCAATAAATGAATGTCATGTGATGGGTGGGACGAGCATGGTGTAAACAGCCGGGCAGAGCGGCCCGCTTCGGTCAGGATTTATCAGGCAGGTCAGCCGAACAGAATGCTGCTGGGAGCGAGCCCATTGGGTAAAGATGATTTTCAAGTTTCAACGCCCTCCGCTATTGGATCTCACCAGGATAGAAAGGCTGAAGAAGTTTAGCTGTGCCCTTCCATTCGCCTGAGTCATCCGAGTCGCGCACTAGAAGCTCGATTAGAATGCCTAACGGAGCCGCTCAGCATCCACGCAACTGTACTCCTAAAACACGCGGCAGCGCCCAGCTGGCTCCAAAGATTGAACGGGAATGGAAACCCGAGGTATCTCACGTCCAATCAGAGACTGATTCAGGCTTGCAAAGACCCTGGAAAGGGGTAGATTCCAGCAATACCATGTGTCAGCCAGCGCACGCATGGATTTCGCGAGTCCAGGTGGCTGCTTGCGTGGACAGAGATCACGTGACAGATGATTCGGTCAAGTGTCATTCGTTAGTATTTGAATGCTGGGCTGCTTGATAATCCAAAAAATGCTAACTGTATAGAACAACGTCGTAACTGGCCTTCAAGTTTTTGCTGCTAAAATCTAAATATAAAAATATCCTCTAGCATTTGAAAACGCTTATTACTTCTTGTCACATGTGACCAGTAGCACTAGGAAATGCAGTTATCTTAAGTAGTTCTTTCAGAAATGAACTTGTATGAATCCCCTTCCAAGTTCTGAACCGCGTCAAACATCGCAACGCAACCAAGGCAACCACATAGCAGGAGCGAGGTTTGACGTGTCATGACGTGGCATGGTAGTAGAGAATGTTGTCAATTGCACCCACCAGAGCCGAAGCCAGCAGCACAGCCCCCCATCAGCGGTGATTTGAAACGCGGGAGTTGGTCGGCTGAAGGCTCCACCTGAATTCAAAGGCTGCAAAAGCTGAAGTCACGCTAGTTTCAGAGTCTGTTCGTCACCTGAACTCAGTGCTTTGCATCGCCATGGCTTCTCCTCCTGCCAGCAATGTCGCTCACTCTCTCAAGGCAAGGCCCATTGCTCTATCAGGACCTCAGCACACACTGTCCTGGGCTTAATCAGAGACCCTGCGCCAGCTTCTCTTTGCCAATATCGTTACTCCAAAGAATCCCAACTCGGTACATACTACACAGCTACCGCCGAACTCGCGGTTGCGCACTGCGCACACCCGACACGTATTTTCTGTTTCGTCAATTCTCTTCGTGTTCGTCGTTCCTATGCGCGGCGTGCAGGCGGTGGTGGGGTTCATCGGGTTGGGCAACATGGGAGCGTGCATGGCGGCCAACGTCCTCCGCCACAACTACCCGCTCGCCGTCTTCGACAGGTCGCCCGCTCTTCCCGCCACTCCCCGTTTTACCCGGACTCTCCCCACCGCTCTCCTGCTTGCTCCGCCTCGCCCCGCCTCTCCCGTTTCCCCCTGAGTTCCGAAGCCTGCCGCTCCTCCTGTCGCGCACTTCCGCTTCTCGCCCGCTGCGCCCCTTTATCATCCTCGCCGCGCATAGCAACCGGTCCGCCTCGCACCAGCAGTGCCACTCAGTACCGCTTAGCACCCGCTCAACACCACGCAGCACCTCTTGCTCGTACCCCACATACCGATTAAATCTACCATGCCTAACGCCTCGTGTGTCTCCGCCTCGTCTCGGGCTCGTCTCCCCTCATTGGTGCATCTCTGCTCTCTTCATCCTGTGCCCTGGCAGGAACGAGGCGGCCATGGCGTCGCTGGTGCAGCAAGGCGCGCAACCAGCGGATTCGCCTGCAGACCTGGCCTCTAAAGCGGATGTGATTATAACGATGCTGCCCACGCCAGCCATTGTGAGATGCCGGGGCTTGGTGATGTTAGCGGTGCCTCCAATCTAGCTTGCTGCTACTAGCAACCACTGTCTGCTATGCTCCTGCCTCTGTCTGCCTCACCAAACCCTACGCCATCCCGTGGCTCTCCCGACCACAGCTTTGCATGCTCCAGCTCTCGTCGGGCTTGGAGTCGCCTTTTGCACTCTCAAGCTTCTTTTCCAAGTCGCAACCTTCCTTGCGATTCTCGTCCTTCCTGACCCCCGTTTCCGACATGCTTTACGTCTCTCTTTTCGGCTTCACCCTGCTCTCAGGTGCTAGATGTATACACGGGCCCGACTGGCGTGCTCACAGCATCAACCACCTCCCCCTCCACTCCCGCTTCCTCCTCCACCCCTCCCCCTTCGTCATCTCCTTCCTCCCCCTCCTCTTCCCCCTCCTCCTCCCCTCCTTTCCCCTCCTCCCCCCCTTCCTCCGCGCCTCTCCCCTCCACACACACCATAAGGCCGCACCTGCTCATTGATGCCTCCACAGTGGACCCTGCCACGTGTCACGCCCTCGCAACCGCCGTGCAGGCATGCCACGTGGCGCCCAGCGCACTGCACTCACTGCAAGGTGGGCGCGCGCATAGTGACGTGTGAGTTAATCTACCTGCTGCTGTGCACGCATGCCGGGCAGGCGGAACAATGTGAGCTCAGGGTATCCATCCTCTTAAGTCAACTCCACTCCATAGTCGCCCTGGCAGTTGCCAGGGTGTATGGCGGTTACCGTGCATACATGCAGCCTGGGTGCTGCTTTCAGCATGAGTGTCCACACCACAGCAATATTACTGCTTCCCAGTCGCCCCCTTCCCTTCGCGACCCCCTTTCCCCCCATTTGCCCCGTTGCCCCCGACTCCCCTCATTTCCTACCCCCCCCCCCAATCTCCGCATTTCCCTCATCCCGCTTTCTTCCGGCTTTCCCCGCGTCTCCAATCCCTGCTGCTGCGCTGTCACAAGGGCAGGTCCCCCCTTGGTGGTGGACGCACCTGTGTCAGGCGGCGTGGTTGGTGCCAAGGCAGGCACACTTACCTTCATGGTGCGATGTTAGCGCGCACACTCATTGCACTCCGCATATTTATGACTGCCATGGCTTAGACTGGCAAGCACTTATGGGTCGGCTTGCGGCTCTAGGCTGCTGCTCCCTGGTGCTGCTCGTCTTCTGTTCTGGCTCGCATCCTTCTCTAATGTGTAACGGTTTGTAGCACACCAGTGTGACCATTTGCGTCCACCTCTTCCCATGCCCGTCTTTCCTCCCCTTCGCCTCCCTGCGCTCCTCTCCTCTCATATCCTCCTCTCGTCTTGCCATCCCCTCCTCGTCTCGTCCCTCTCTTACCTCCTTACTTGTCCTCTCCACCTCTCCTCATATCCTCGCCTCCTTTCCTCTCTTGCTCCCTTTCTCACTCCACTCTTCCCTACCCCCCCCGCTGCACACCAGGTGGGAGGCACAGCAGCAGCATTCGCAATGGCGGAGCCACTGCTGGCAGCCATGGGCACGCGCGCGCTGCACTGCGGGCCCTCTGGATCCGGCTCGGTGAGACCGCTATTGGACCCGCTTGGTGGATCCAGCATTCTGCCATGTGCCATCTGTTGCCATGCACTGTGTGCAAAGTGATATCTGGTTCTTGCAGCGCTGCACTAGGCACACCATGTGCCATGTGCCATGCACCTGACCATCACCTCACTCGGCACACCATCTACCATGCACCATGCACCACCACCATCCATCCGTCCGTCCGTCCGTCCGTCCGTCCGTCCATCCATCCATCCATCCATCCATCCATCCATCCATCCATCCATCCATCCATCCATCCATCCATCCATCCATCCATCCATCCATCCATCCATCCATCCATCCATCCATCCATCCATCCATCCATCCATCCATCCATCCATCCACCCCATGCATCCCTGCAGGCGGCCAAGCTGTGCAACAACCTAGCTCTGGCCATCCAAATGGCGTCAGTATCCGAGGCCCTCGCTCTGGGGCAGCGCCTGGGCCTCTCCCCTGCACTGCTCTCCGCCATCTTCAACTCCTCCTCCGCCAAGTGCTGGTCCAGGTGGGTGCGCGCATGCGCCCATGCGCCCATGCTGCTCCAGGTGTGGGTGTGCGTGGGCTCCTGCTATTGCCACAATGCTCTGGGGCAGCGCCTGGGCCTCTCCCCGCCGTTGCTCTCCACCATCTTCAACTCCTCCGCCAAGTGTTGGTCCAGGTGGGGTGTAGGACCCATGCCGCCCCACCTGTGGTGGGTCGACCCATGCTGCTGCTACACTCAATCATGTGCACGTCTCGCCTTTGTCTCGCCATGCGTCCACCCGAAGGCCCCTATGATGCTACATAACCAAACTCCACAGCCCCATTCCACCCTCTTCTCCCACCCCTCTTCCTCCCCTTCTCTTCTCCTGCGACATCGTGCCTCCATGGTTTCCATGCGGATCAGTGAGGTGTACAACCCGGCACCGGGCGTGATGCAGGGCGTGCCCTCTGCGCGCCACTACCAGGGCGGATTCTCCAATGCCCTCATGGTCCGTGCTGCTGTGTGTGGGGTGCTGGCATGGCATGGCATGGCATGGCATGGCATGGCATGGCATGGCATGGCATGGCATGGAATGTTGCTTCGCCACTCAAGCACATCTCAAGCTTGCCAGGGTCATACGACCTATTTGATTTGATTTGCATTGAGATAGGCAGTGAGCAAGTGTGTGTGAGCAGTTACTGCTTTTTTTTTTTCCAATCCTTTCATTTGCTATCATCTTCAGTCATTTACTGATGAACATATTCATCGCCACCTCCTTCGCCCCATTCTCCTCCCAGATGATAATGCTTCCGTCCCAATTGCCCATTCTCCATCTCCATCCCTCCACTCCCACCCTTCCCCGGAGCATCTCCCCTCCTCCGCCAGTGGTCATATATTGAGAATTCTCAAGAACTCCCAATCAGCTCCCCCGCACCAACTCTGCTCCGCCTCTCCCTCTACAACCCCCCCTACCCCCATTGCCTGCATCCATCCCGTCCCCCGCAGAGCAAGGACCTGGGTCTGGCAGTGGCAGCAGCACAGGCAGCAGGGGCGCCGGTTCCACTGGGAAAGAACGTCATGGCCATGTGAGACGTGGGGCGGATGGGATGCTTGCCCAGGGGCTGTGCTGTGAAGGCACATTGTTTTTACAACATATTGTGTTGAGGAATTGTATCATACTATGCATGCACATAGACTTTATAGGACAGTGTCTGTTTGGGAGATTCACATCTAAGCATGTGTTTCCGGGCTCTGCTAGGTGCTTTCATGTGCCTGGTGCTCCACCGCTGCACTGCACCGCTCATCGTGTGTAATTGTGGCATGTTCATGTTCAGGTATGCTGACATGGTGAGGGCAGGCTCAGCAGCAGATGATTTTTCCAGCATTTATCAACATACTTATGGCGGTCAGCCCGTGGAGGCAAAATGATGGGCAATGGGAATCATCCTGACATCAGCTTTCACATTGCCTGCATGTCCTGCATAGAATGTGGACGTCAAAGTGGCCCTGTGGAAGAAATAGAACATTATGTATTCTTGCATCGTATTGTATATATGCGTCATGATTGTACATATCATAGTGGCATTTGTGGAAACAGTTAACATAATGTCTTCAACCTCAAGATTTTTTTCTGCATGACGAAGAGTTTTGGTTAGCATCAGGAGCTTGTTTTCCGTTTTGCCATTCCTCATGTTCATTGTAGGGGGTGTATGAATTCTGTATGCATCTAGACGCCGGAGTAGCTATTGTACTGTAATTGCGCTACTTGACCGAGTGTTTCGGGTTCGGGTTTTTGACCGCAATCAACTGCGTATCAAAGGCTTGCTTACGTGGCACGTTCTGAATGGTTATTCACTAATGCGACGTGGCGAATCCTCGTTCTTCGGCGGTGTCAAGTTCAGCCCCTAACCTCGATTCGGGCCAGGGAGTTGCGGAGTCGCGCAATGAGTAGGACACACGCAACGCGGGGCAAACCCTGATGTGGCGTCGCAAAAGACTCCAGTTACCACTGACGGATTTCGCAGGACAAAACTCCTCTCAAATATTTACCCTGTTTAGTCTGCCCCGCATCAAACATTGCCGCCCCGCGAAGCGCCAACTTCGCGCAGTCTACTACCACTTCTCGTCGTCGCATCTTCGTGCTTGTCTCGTTTCCCTATTTCTTGATCGCGTGCCGCGCACCGCACAGCAACAACCGTATGTCGTGACAACCTTCTTACGCCGTCATGTCGATCTTTTCGTCCGCGCTTGCCGTCGCGCCACCGAGGATGGCGCCTCGGCCAACTTACCTAGGCGCCTCTCCCATTCGCCCCACTCGCGACCACTGTTCTCTGCTCTCTTCCCGTCCGATCGCGGCATGCGTTCGTAGCGCCGCCTTTCCGCGTTTCCAACGACATACCTCCTGCCCTTCACAGCGTCCCAAGGCGGTCCCTTCCCCCTCGCCTTTCCTCTCCGCTTCCGCCTGTCGCCTCTTCCCCCCACTCCTCCCCCTTCCCGGCACTTCTTCCCGCCGTGCCGGGGCCCATACCCGCCGCCTCGTGCCGTCAGCTAGCGCCGCTGCTGCCGAGAGCCCCTGGCCGGCCGGAGACGGCCGTCGCGAGAATACCGGCGTGAATTCAGCCGCAGCAGCTGCTGCTGCCGCACCGGCAGGGCAGGCGGAGGCGGCGCAAGCGGGCGCCAGCGACGCGCGGAGCGCAGCGGGACGGCGGAAGGTGTTCGCGTGGGAGGCGGATGCGGGAGCGGACGCGCCGCCGCGGCTGCACTCGTCGTGGGCCACCGCGCCGGCGCCGCTGCCGCCATCCCCTAAGGACTCGTCGATTCTGGGGGTAAGGCGGGGCTGGGGGCTGGGGGCGAGACGCGGGCAGCGTGGGAAGTAGGGGATAGATTGGAGTGGCGCGGACAGGGTTGCGCGCGCGCATCGCCCTCCTTGCACGTCTCACCCCATGCAACACCCCCTTTCCCCCCCTCTCCCCTCTCCCCCTCCGCCCTCACCCCTCTCCACCTCCCCCTCTCCCCCTCCCCCAGGTGCTGCCGTACTTGTGGCGGCTGGCGGCGGACGACCTGTCGCTGAGGTGGCGCATCCTCGTGGCGCTGCTGCTGCTCGTCGCGGGCAAGGTGGGGGGGGAAGGAGGGAGGGGGGAGGGGGGATGCGGGGAGAGGCGAAAGGGGGAAGGGTAGCGGGAACAGGGGAAAAGGGGAGTGAGTGGGGGAAAGGGAACGGGGAAAAGTTGTTGTGAAGAGGTCGAGGCGGAAAGAGCTATGGAGGGGAATTGGGGTAGGTGGTGGTGCCGGGAGAGGGAGGGAGGGGGTGATTATGGTGCAGGGGATGGGGGAAATGGGGGAAGTTGGCAGAAAGCGCGGAGGAAGGAGCGCAGCTAAGTGTTTGGGGTGGATAGGGGGAGCTTGTAACGGGATGCTGGTGGTGGCAAGGTATCGGCAGGAGTGAGAGTTAGGGTGCTGAGATTGAAAGCAACCGTGAATCGACTAGAGAGGAGAAGGTGAGTGCATGTGTGTGTGCAGCGCAGTGCATGGACGTGGCATGGCCTGTCCCGTGTGGTTGGTTCCCATGTCGCCTCGTCTCTCTCCTCCTCTGTTGCTGTGAAATTAAGCCTGCTTGCTACCCACCTCCATTCCCCGCCACTCACTCACCTGTCTTCTCCTCTCTCTCGCTCCCCCCCTTGCCCCCTGCCACCCCTCCCGCCTTTCCCTCTCCCCTCCTCCATCTCCCCTATTCCACCTCCTCTGACCTCCCCGTCTCCTCCCCCACACTCCCACACCCGTGCAACCCCACACATCCACACCCCTACGCACCCCACCCATCTCCTCATCTCTACCCCCACGGGTGGCAGACGGCGGGGCTAGCAGGGCCGCTGATGTTCAAGCGGGCGCTGGACGCGCTGACCAATGCGCAGGGGCTCACACGCAAGGCCATCATTGCTGCTGTCGCTGCCCTCGTCGTCTCTGCTGCCTCTAAGGTCAGTCAGTCAGTCAGTCAGTCAGTCAGTCAGTGCGCCCCCTGAGGCTTGTCAAGAGCCCCTAAGAGCCAACGTGCAGGGGCTCACGTGCAAGGCCATCATTGCTGCCGCCTCTAAGGTCAGTCAGTGCGTGTGCGCTCCTGAGGGGAAAGCATTTGAGGGGGGAGCACCTGAGGGGAAAGCACCTGAGGGGGGAGCAGAAGCACCTGGGGGGCAAGCACCTGGGGGGGAGGGAAAAGCACCTGAGGGAACACCTGAAGGGAAATGTGTGAGCAGAGCTGTGCGGCATCATCTGAGCCACCTGTACAACGGTGCACATGGCATGCCCGGGCTCTACAATCCACCGACCGACACCCACCCCATCCTTTCCGTACCCATCTCCCCTTCATCATCACCCAACTCCCCATCATCACCCAACCCCCCCTGCAGTGAGTGCAGTCTCAACGCAGCTTGCAGCATAGTGTTCCCTGGTGGGATGCACTCAGCCCACCCTGATGTTCTCTGGGGCAGGCGGTGGTTGGTGGGGCGTGTGCACACTACTCACGGGGTACCAAGCCTCATTCTCTCCACACCCATCTCCCCTTCTCTACCCCCACTTTCAGGCAGTGAGTGCCATGTCAACGGAGCTGTGCAACATTGTCTTTATGCCCGTGGAGCAGGCGGGGGGGCGTGTGCGTGTGCACACAGCGCCCTGACTCCACTCACCACGCACCAAGCCCTTGTCTCCCTCCACCACACCTGTCTATCTCCCCTTCACCAACCCCCCTAACCCTCCAGGCAGTGAGTGCAGTATCCACAGAGCTGCGCAACATTGTCTTTACGCCCGTGGGGCAGGCGGTGGGGAGTTGGAGTCTACAATCCACGCAACCGCATTTCCCTTTCACCCCCCCCCCATCCCCCACTTTCAGGCAGTGAGTGCAGTGTCAACAGAGCTGCGCAACATCGTCTTCACGCCCGTGGGGCAGGCGGTGGGGCGGCGCGTGGAGTACCACTTCTTCGCGCACATCCTGGCCATGGACTCCGCCTTCCACCTCGATCGCAAGACCGGCGCACTCGCTAGGATCATTGAAAGGGGGAAGCGGTCGATTATTATGATCTTCCGGGCTGTTGGTGAGTCGGGGAAGGGAGAGGGGTTGGGAGCGGTTAGAGCACCTGCTTCTTTGCGCACATCCTGGCCATGGACTCCGCCTTCCACCTCGATCGCAAGACCGGCGCACTCGCTAGGATCATTGAAAGGGGGAAGCGGTCGATTATTATGATCTTCCGGGCTGTTGGTGAGTCGGGGAAGGGAGAGGGGTTGGGAGCGGTTAGAGCACCTGCTTCTTTGCGCACATCCTGGCCATGGACTCCGCCTTCCACCTCGATCGCAAGACCGGCGCACTCGCTAGGATCATTGAAAGGGGGAAGCGGTCGATTATTATGATCTTCCGGGCTGTTGGTGAGTCGGGGAAGGGAGAGGGGTTGGGAGCGGTTAGAGCACCTGCTTCTTTGCGCACATCCTGGCCATGGACTCCGCCTTCCACCTCGATCGCAAGACCGGCGCACTCGCTAGGATCATTGAAAGGGGGAAGCGGTCGATTATTATGATCTTCCGGGCTGTTGGTGAGTCGGGGAAGGGAGAGGGGTTGGGAGCGGTTAGAGCACCTGCTTCTTTGCGCACATCCTGGCCATGGACTCCGCCTTCCACCTCGATCGCAAGACCGGCGCACTCGCTAGGATCATTGAAAGGGGGAAGCGGTCGATTATTATGATCTTCCGGGCTGTTGGTGAGTCGGGGAAGGGAGAGGGGTTGGGAGCGGTTAGAGCACCTGCTTCTTTGCGCACATCCTGGCCATGGACTCCGCCTTCCACCTCGATCGCAAGACCGGCGCACTCGCTAGGATCATTGAAAGGGGGAAGCGGTCGATTATTATGATCTTCCGGGCTGTTGGTGAGTCGGGGAAGGGAGAGGGGTTGGGAGCGGTTAGAGCACCTGCTTCTTTGCGCACATCCTGGCCATGGACTCCGCCTTCCACCTCGATCGCAAGACCGGCGCACTCGCTAGGATCATTGAAAGGGGGAAGCGGTCGATTATTATGATCTTCCGGGCTGTTGGTGAGTCGGGGAAGGGAGAGGGGTTGGGAGCGGTTAGAGCACCTGCTTCTTTGCGCACATCCTGGCCATGGACTCCGCCTTCCACCTCGATCGCAAGACCGGCGCACTCGCTAGGATCATTGAAAGGGGGAAGCGGTCGATTATTATGATCTTCCGGGCTGTTGGTGAGTCGGGGAAGGGAGAGGGGTTGGGAGCGGTTAGAGCACCTGCTTCTTTGCGCACATCCTGGCCATGGACTCCGCCTTCCACCTCGATCGCAAGACCGGCGCACTCGCTAGGATCATTGAAAGGGGGAAGCGGTCGATTATTATGATCTTCCGGGCTGTTGGTGAGTCGGGGAAGGGAGAGGGGTTGGGAGCG